CTAAAGAAAAGGCTATGGCTTAAATACGTAGCTACAGGGAACTTTCTAATACTACCCACTGAAATGAACCTGAAGTATACACCCCACCCCCCAAAAACTCACAGGTCTTCCCCACTTGCCACAGAGTGGGTGACAGCCCAGAACGGACCCTTGCTGGAGGGATGCATATCCGAAACAGAGAGAGAGGGAGAGGGGAGGGGAAGAATGTTCAGTTTTTCTCCAAACCCACTGTCCAAAAGAAAGAGGTAAAGGATGATCAGAGAGATGAGGAGTACTTTTAGGCCAGGGAATGACCGGTTTCATTCTGGACCAGTATTCGATGCCACGCTGACCTGCTGGACAGATGGCAGCAGGTCCCACCTCGCCATTTGGACCCTGTGCCATCGCCCAGCCCTGGTGAGACCCACTCTCTCCTCCCATTTCTCCTGGCCTTCCCTGTAGCCCCAGCCAGTCCTTCTTCCGAGACAGTGTTAGCCTAAAGCTGGCACCCCTGGGAAGGGCTCTCTGACATTTACAGCTTTTGAATCACGTTTTCGCATTGCTTTCTTGTCAACTTATAATCCCCATCCATCGTATAAAAAGTATGCGATGTAGCAAAATTAAAAACTAATCCAAACAATTCCAAACAAACAAAAATCCCAGTTGAAACGGCCCAAGCAATAAGAACATGTATTATTTCACATCACAAGAAGGAAAAATCCTAGTGTGTTATTATCAGTGACTCAGTGGTGCTGAACCCAGGTTCCTTCTGTCTTTTTGCTCTGCCGACTGCTCTTGCCTTCACCCTAAGACTGGTCCCACTTGTGGTCCTAAAACAGATGTTGTGGTTCCAGGGGTCCCACCCAGGAACCACCTCCTTCAGAAAAAGAAGGAGGCCATGGTGCCCCTGTTTTACCTCTTTGAAATTGAAGAAATTGTGTTCCTAAAATCCACCTCCCGCTGAATTGGCCTGAATCAACAACTAAGCAGTGGGGGGGACATAGGCGCCATTATTGTCTTAGACCTGTTCGTGGATTTGTGACTAGATTGGGTGTCACCCCTCACCAAACTGGGGCTTGACCAAAGCAACGGGGGAGTGTGGGTGTTGGGTAGGCAGCCAGCCATGTCTGCTCTGCATCACTAGACGTTTGTTCAGTGGTTATGATTTTAAAGAACCTGTCTTCCCATTTCTGTGTTTTCATCTCTGAACTTCAGTTTCCTTATCTGCCTTCTGTACTTTGCAAGGCTGTTGCAGTGATGAAGTGAAATAACATGAACTAGGAAGGGCCGTGTAAACCTTGCATCTAACGAGGATGGTACCAGAACGTGAACTCTCCCCACCCACCGCCGCCGAGGCGAAACTCGTTCCAGGCCCGAGCAGATGTGTGCACAGTTGGGGTGGTCGGTGTGAGACTGCGCAGCGGAAGCGCCTCATCGTCGGCATCAGAGTTTCTCTTTGGCCTCTGGATATAAGGGGAAAAAATGTAAAGAAGAAATTCAAGCAGATTCAAACAACGAACTTACGAAAAGACGCTCAGTCTCAGTAAGTGTTAGGGAAATGGCAGATGGAAACCACAGGGGGGTCTCTATCACCTCACATCCATCAGGACAGCTGCCATCAGACGGGTTTTCAAGGATGATACACAACCTGCGAGAGACACAACCTGCACCTGCTCTCGGTGGGGAGGTGAAGGATGCAGGCATTTTGCAAAGCAGCATGGTGGTTCCTCAAAATATTCTACGTGGAATTGCCATGTGATCCACTGACGCTGCTTCCAGACAGGTAGACAAAAGGATTGAAAGCAGGATCTTGAAGAGATATTTGCACAGCCATGTTCATGGCAGGATTGTTCGCAATAGCTAAAAAGGTGGAAGGAACCCCGTGTCCATTGGTGGATGAGTGGATATGTGAAAGGTGGCGTATGCCTACAGTGGAACATTATTCAGCCTTAAAAAGAAATGCTGACGAGTGAATGAAACTTGAGAACACTGTGCAGTGTGAAATAAGCGAGTCACAAAAAGACAAATGCTGTGCGATTCTATTTGTGTAAGGTCTCTAGAATAGTCAGATTCACAGACAAAAAAGAGAACAGTGATCTCCAGGGGCTGGAGGGAGGGAAAAATGGGGAGCTGTTGTTTAGCAGGTAAAGAGCTTAAGCCTGACAAGATGGAACAGTTCTGGAGACTGGCTGCTCAACAGTGTGAATGTCCTTAATGCCTATGAACTGTACATGATAAAATTTTTGTCATGCGTCTTTAAAAATTAAAGCTTGATAATGTGCAATGCTGGACAGTGCAGAGTAAAATCGGCACTCACCTCCACTCTTACCAACAGTTAATGGGACTTTAAATGGGCTTATTTTTTGTGGTCAGTGGTTTGGTAATATCCATCTGAATTAAAGGCAGGGAAAGGAGGAGATTCAGGTGTACATTATCAGGAGGTCTACAGGGCCTAAGAAAGAAGAACCATTGTGTAATAGGACCAGATGGGACCCTGAGAACAGGGGTAGAGTCAGTGTGCAGGGGCTGCCCAGCCTCTGCCCAGCAAGTGCCCTTTGCAGCCGACATTAGGAGGGTGAGCGAACCACCCCTTGCCAGTTGAGTGAACACAGGCTTTTTACTGCTGAAGGCCTCTCTTCGGTCCTTCACCTGGCCACCAGGTTCAGGCTTCTTACCTGTCACTTGACGATCAACTTGGTAGAACTGCTCTGCACCTATGCCTGGAGATTCTGCCAAGCCCTCTGTTTGCTACCCATGTTAGACTGGACTGGCTGAGTAGCAAACAACCTCATACTTTAGTGGCCTAACAGAGTAGACCTTTATTGCTTTCTTACGTGAGTCTCAAGGCAGGTGCTCTTGGTCGAGCAATGTTTCTGGGCAATCCTGTTCCAATCAGGGACTCAGGGATCTATGGCTTTGCCATGCCCTAAGCTCCCCTTGAGTTCTTCCCTTGTACCTCTGCATTCAGCCAGTCAGCCAGACAGCAAGTCAAGAGAGAGATCAGGGAAAATTGCATGGGCCATTCCAAGGACCAGGCTTGGACGCAGCATGCATTATTGCCACTCATTTGCTACAACAGACAAGAGCTGGCCACACAGCAGCCTTGGATGCAAGGGGTCCAAGAAACATAGTCTCCTTGTGCATCCATGGAGAAAATGAGATAGTTGGGGAATATGTACCAATGTGTCTGTAACAGTGCCTATCTGGACAACCCCCATATGAGAACCTAGAACCTTGAAGCCTGCTGAAGCAGAGTGAGTGCCTCGATACCAAGAAGAACAGTGGTAAAATTCTCCCCGCCCCTGGCCCCACCCCCCGGCCCCACCCCCCACAGCCTGTACTTAGTTGGGTTTATAAAGAACTGTCTCAAGATACTCCTGCTCCATCTCCACTTCTGTTTTCTTCATTTTGTAATCACAGGAAAAATGAAGATATCCAAGCCTACCTTCCTCTTCTTTCACTTGCCAGAATTTACTTACTGATACCATGTTTCCCCACAGTTACAGGGAGCCTCTTGAATGTCCTTCAGTGGTCAAAGGAACCGAGAAAGGACCCTTTGCCCTTGCTTGGCCATCTCCATGGAGGAATCCCCAGCCCTGCACACCCAAATCCTACCCAACCATGCTGGGGCACATCACAAGGCCTACAAATCTTTTCCTCACTTCACAGCCCACAGAGATCATGCCCCTTTCTTACGGAACAATGATTACTTTTGTTACTGTCACTTGAGATTTACTTATCTTTTGCACTGAATTACATATTTTAATGCAGCAAATATTTGCCAAGATGCCCGGTCCAAAATGATGGGATTCAAAGATGGTCAAAGGAAAATGGCTTCCATGGAATATGCAATCCAGGGAGGTGCCAAAATGAACACCCCAGGAAGCTGAATGCTCTAAGGCTATCAGGTAGAGAGACACAGAGCATCTTAGAGATTCAGGAAGGAGTCCTTCTGAGTAACTGAAGTGTGTAAAAGGTATAAACAAGTAGAGTCTGGGGGAGAGCAGTCCAGGTGAAGAGGAGAAGGAGCAAAAGTGCCAAGGTAGGAATCTGTGGGGAAATTTCAGAATAGGCGAGTGTTTCTGTGTGGTTGGAGATAAAGCTACAAACGTGGGTGTACCCGTCAGGACTCTTTGAGCTGCAAATAATAAAAGTAACTTTACCATGAGTTTAGGCAATAAAAAAGAATGCATCATACACTGCGGTCCAGGAGCAGTTTGGTCCAGGCTCCCTGGCTGTCTCCCTGGCCTTCTCCTGGTTTTGCTCTGCTCTGCATCCACACCATCCTCATGATCACAGAATGGCTGCTGGCGGCATCAGGGCCTGGAAGGAAATGGCTTTGCTTTCCCAGCAACCCTGAGCAAACTAAATGGCTTTGAACAGCCCAGCTGTGAACCAGTCAATGACAGTGGAACTACCATGAACCGTACAAAGGGATTGCCTAAGCAAAATGCAAGGTGTCGAGCCAGCCACAGAGGTTCCTGTAGTAGGTTTGTCCAGACTACGGACAGTTCTGAATCTCAGCTTTGAGAATCTGTACGTGGAATAAAAGGCATGGGGTGCCACTGATTGCTTTTCAGCAGCGGAGTAGACAAAACTGAGTTAAGGGTGTAATTATTTGGATGTTTTGATGAGAAACAACCGAGCAGAAGGGGCGGGATGTGGAATTGCCACGTGCCCACTGTCACCGATGCCCTCTTCCTCCCACATCAAAAGGGGCTCCCAGGACAGGGGCTGTGACTCTCGCTGCATCCACATCGGGAGCCAGGGAATGATGAGGTGTGACACCAGGGGGAGGGGGAGCAGAGCTTTGATGGGAGAAATATTCTAGGCAGGACTTGGAGGATGACTGGAGATGGGGGAAAACATGAAAAATGACTCTGATGTTGTAAATTTGGATGACTTAAGCATGCAAGCAGTGCCACAAATAGAAGTATAGTCATCTAAGGGAGTCAGTGAGGTGATTTTGAATCCATAAATCAGATGCATGATGAATAGCAATGACAATAATACTAAAATGATGCTAATAGTGAAGTAATTATAATTAGTAATAAAATTAGCATATATCAAGCCTTTACTCTGTCAGTATTTACTAAGATACTTATTGTTGCTCTGATACATAAGAATGCATTCATTTACTCCTTGCAACAATCTTATTATTATCTTCATTTTGCAGAGGAAGAAACTGAGGCAAAGAGTGATCAAAGTAAACAAGCCGAGGTCAAGTTACCGGTTAAGTAGACGAGGTAGAATCAAACCCAGGCCATCTGACTTGGGACCCTACTCTTTCAGTCATTATAACCATAGCTAATATTTATTAAGTATCTACTATGTGACAGTACTTTCTCTTTAATTCTTAAAAGTCACCTGATAAAGTGGAGAGTATTATCCCTGTTTTATAGATGAAGACAGAATCAGAGACTTGTCCAAAGTCACACATTTTAAGTGGCAGAGGTGGGGTCGCCTTGCAGGAGGTATAGCAGTAAAACACACTTCTGTGATGCCATGAGAAGGATGAGTGCATCCGAGGACCACAGGATCTGGACCCCTTATCTCAGCAAAGAAGTTCTAAACATCTAGCTTATGGACCAAAACGGACACCTTCGAGGTGCACGCTTGGCAAGGACAGGACCTGGCATGTAGATGCTGAAACCAATAGGATTGTGAAGTCTCGGGGAACCTTTGCACATAGGACAAAGCTGAAACTATGGAGGGGGGATGCCTTGTCCAACCAAGGCATTCAAGGGGGCGGGTGCTTAGGAGAACAAACTCAGGTCTCACAGCCCTGTGTCCAATGGTAGCCCTGCAGGTCATTCGCTGGGGGACCTTGAGCAAACTGCTTAACCTCTGAGTTTCAGCATCTTCATCTGTAAAACCAGGATAACAATAGCTGGACTTCACTCTGAAGAACTGTGTAACTAAGACTGAATACGATGAAGCAAGGGAAACATTTGGCCCATTGCCTGGCATATAGCGAACACATAACATGATAGTGATGTTGCCACTGTTGCTGTTGCTGTAACTATTTCTACAAGACGTGGAAGGCAAACGGTCTAGCCTCTGAGAGAGGGATTCTGCTGTTCATATTGCATAATGTGCCTGCCGTCTGAAGCCTTCATACAGCAGCTCTTTGGCTTCCAAACCTCACGGTAGGACCTCTTCAAACCATATCGACGAAGGCCAGCTGTTGTTCCAGAAGCTAAGGAGGAAGAGGAGAAGGGTGTTGAGGGTGGTGATAGGAGAAAGGAGGTGGAGGAAGTCTGCCCACCCAAGCAGGCTCCCCTAGGCCCCTCCCAGACCCTGCTGTGTGGCCCCAGGCCTGGCCCAGCCTGCACTCTCTGCCTGGCCACGTGGTTTGCATTTTAAAATGTAACCAGCAGCTGTTAGCAGGTGGTTCCAGCTATTAATACTCAGACTGAGAAGTGGTGGAGCTGTGAGGTCAGTGCTGACAACGAAGCAGCTGCTCCCCTCTCCATGCTGGTGGGGAATTCTGGGAAACTAGTCTAGAGCTGGGGGAGGTGGGGGGGAAGAGGGTGCGGTGGGGGGTGGGGAGCAACTTCCCCTCAGCAGCAAATGTTTCCGGGAAGCTTCTGGAATCCCATGAGTCTACAACTGTTTAGTCATGGAACATCAGAGATGACAAAGCCTTTAACCCAACCATCCCATTTTGTAGGTAAAGAAACAGAGGCCCAGAGGGGTGATGTGATTAATTTCAGACGGCCTGTGAATCAGGGCGGGGCTGGGGCAGGAACCCTGGCTGCAAAGAGTGAGCCGGGGGTTTTTCCATTACTCAGACTCACAGAGCCCACCCCAGCCTCTTACCTGAGAAGAGCTGGGTTTTGTGATCCAGGTGGAAGCTGCAGCTACAATGCAAGGACTGAACACCTTTGAAAGAGAACTTGCCAGAAACAGATTATGGGCAAAAATGATGGCAAAGAAACATGCATTTTGACATGGGAATGAGCTCACCCTGCTGTGTGAAATGAAGAAGAAACAGATTCCCCGAGCAGAATCCATGTGGGCCCATTTGGGTAAGGAACACATGCACACACACGTGTGCACACAGAAAAAAGACTGGAAGGAAGAATAAAACAAACTTACCCTAGCAGACAGGTTTTCCTTTTTCTCTTCTTTTGTCTACTCTGTATTTTCTAAACTTTGTACTTGGAGAGTATTTGCTTTTGTAACCATCATGTTAAAAGGGTACAAAATAAATAGACAAGAGCCCGGGTCCCAGTCACCCGCCCTCAGGCTTGGCTCTGCCACAGCCCCCAAGACAGACTGCACCCATTGCACAAGGCGGGGGTGTTCTCCTTTCCGGTGAAGCCAAAACAAGCTCCGACCTGAGCACTGGCAGCCACAGCTGCGGTTTTGCTGCAAGTCTGGGAGCAGCGTCTTGGGCTCCGGGCACTCCCGAGTCTCCAGTGTGCACCAGAGAGGAAGGGCCAGACGCCAGGCCCCAGCCCCACAGCTGGCTCAGCTGACCTTGTGTCTGGAGGTCTGAGGCAGAGGCTGAACTGAGGTCTGATGTGGGGAAGAGTGACATGCGAGTCAGATGGCCCTTCTGGGAACTCTTCCAGTCCCAGATCACACCCTCCAGGAAGCCTCAGTTGTATCTTTCAAGCATGCACATTTGTTGCCACTTGCCCAATGTCCTTTGATCCCAACGTCCTTGAGACCAAGCCACCTTTCTGGGTCATCCAACGAGGGCTGCCTGCCATGTGGACTTCCCAGCCTTCTTCTTGCCTAGTACAAATCTGGGGGTGGTGGGTCTTACCGCCACTGCCATGAAGCTCAGAGAGGGTTTATTTAGACAGAACCATTGCCCCCTGTTGCATTTAGAGCCGGGACTGTGGTGCCTGCCTCGTGTCCCGCTGCTTCCTGAAGCGATGTGTCTGAATGTTGGCTGACTGAGGCTGCTTCCCACAGGGTCTGAGTTCTAAAAATGCCGTCACAGGAAGCTCCCTCTAAGGAGCACGCCTGTGCCTTTCCCCACCCCTTCTTTCCCCAGGGCATGCTCTTGCCTCCACTATGAAAAGCTTCTCCTGCCCCGTAAGGACGGATCTCACATCCGCACACAAGGCAGAGGGAGCCGAGCACCCAAGTCCGAGGGCACCACGGAGGGAATGGGCGAAGCAGAGGCTCAAAATCCCACCTCCGCTCTCCACCAGCCCATCTCTTGGGCCGGTCACGGGTCCTCCGGAGCTTCGCCTTCCTCCCGAGTGTCAGAGGTGCTGGCAGGGTTGGGGAACCTGAGCCCTCTCTGTCTGACTACCGCCCCCGGGGGTATCCGGCCTGCTGCTTGGTTTTGTATGGCTCTCAAGCCAACAAGTGTTTTTACATTTTTAAGTGTCTGAGAAAATAAAAAGAAGAGTAATGACTCACGAACCATGAAAACGGTGTGACGTGCAAATGTCAGTGTCTGTAAGTGCAGTTGAGTCCAGGCACAGCAATGCATATTTACACGTGTGTTAGTTACATATCCCCTGTGGCTGTCCTCGGGCCACGGAGCCCAGATGGCCCATGAAGCCCAAACACTCACCGTCTGGCCCTTTACAGAGAAAAGGCTGCTGAGCCCTGACCTGCAGGTCTGGTACGTGGCACCAAGTTAACAAGTGTTGCTCTCCCTTCTCATCCTCTGCTTTTGAATTCCTTCCACCAGGGGCCTTTTTGTCTCATCTGAAAGACAAGGAGTGGCGAGCTCTGGGAGGAGGGCGGATGAGGGTCATCCTTCCTCACTGCAGACTGCCTGGCTCCAAGTCAATTACACCACCCGCTGGTGCTGTGACCTGGGGAAGGTCACCTCACCTCTCCGAGCCTCAGTTATCCTCACCTATAAAATGGGAGCATGGTAGCTGTATGCTACCCTCTAAAATGTTTGCATACCACTTGTCCGTCGTGTGCCAGGTATTGTCCCAGTCACATCGGTCACTTATTTAATCACGACAGTTCTATGAGTTAGGTCCTGTCATCTCCCCATTTATGGGCAAAGAAGCCGAGGCAGTGGAAGGGTAAAGGAGATGCCCAGGGTTTCTTTGTTGATCAGAAGCATGTCCAAACAGCCTCATCACTAGGGTGCATACACAACTATGTGACAGGGCCCTGCGCGCTTTGTCCAAGAGGATTCAACAGAGATAAGGAATCGGAATGCTTTTAGCAACCCATCAAGTTCCATGGTCATGTAAACTCTTTCTATTGTGAAAGGAAGAGGAAGGGATAATGTTCCCAAATCTCTCACTAATGGTGGCACTTCAGAGAACGTGGCAGCATCTGAAAGGACAGGAGACGTTTGTGGGTGACAACAAGCCTTACCTGGATTCACCTGGCTGGTCTCTGTCTCCCACCCTCTCAGAGTCGGAGGGAAGCAGCCAGGCCTGCTCCAAATGCCGGCGCAGCGTCTAAGGAAGACCTGTGCTTCATCAACCCTTGATGGGTAAAGAGAAGTCACCTTTCTGCTTGGGCGGTGGGACTTGTCTCCCTCCTTGGCATTGGGTCCTGGACCGGCCTGCTCTTGGTCTCATCCTGGCAGAATCGCTGAGGAACAGCCCGGTGCCTCAGCCAGGAGCGCAGAACCTGCTGCTCTGTGTCCTCGTGCTGACCAGAATGCAGCTTTTCCACAGAAGTCATTCCCAGCTCCCTCCCGCCCACTCATCAGCACACTTCCCCTCTCTCTCCTGCGTTAGCATCTTAGCATTTGGACAGGGGATGAATGGAAGGACTGGGGCAGGCAGTGTCTTGCCTTTTTTCTACTTGATCCCCACGAGGATGTCTTGCCCATGCCACATACAGGCTGGGAGAGTGGAAAGAAGCTGGCATTAAAGATGCAGTCTGCTTGGTAAAGAGTGAATAGCCAGAGCCCTGCTGTTGGAATTCCTCCACCACTTCCTGGCTGTGGGACCTTGAGCAAGTTCCTCACCCTTTCTGTGCCTCTGTGTCCTAATGAGCAAAATGGAAAGAGCACAGACCTGATGGGGTTACCGTGGGAATTCAGTGAGATGATACATGAAAAAAGCCTCTGATAGCGTCTGGCATCTATTCGGTGCTCACCACGCACAGGCCATTACTACTTCTCTTCCTTTCACCCAGAACTCACCTTAAGGTACCTCAAGAGTGTGACTCAGGCTTTCCCCACATGCTCTGCAATGTTCTGCACTGTAGTACATCCTTGATTCACACAGTCTGTCTTGAGGGCCTACTAAGTGCACTGTTTTAGACCCGAAGGAGGCAAGGATCTCACAGCCCAGGGGAGGGAGGAGAGAGACATGAACAGACACATATGCTGGAGCCAGGGGCTGAGCGCTTTGAGACCTGTGGGCAGTGTGGAGGGACCCTCCCCACTCTGGTGAACATGTGGTGGTGGAGGGGGCAGAGCGGGAAAGACCTGCCAAAGGAGAGATGAACTTGAGCTGGGTCCTCAGTCACATGCTGGCCATGGCAGGAGCAGGAAGAACACTGTGGGCCTCAGGTACAGTGATGGAAAGGAGCCCAGCAGCCCCAGTCCACACAGACCCCTTCGTGAGCCTCCGTGCAGATTCAGCTCAGGGTCTGAGCTCATTGCCCAGGTGCTGGTCCACGCAGGAAGCACGGAAGTTTCTTTTAGCATTGCATGTCGAGGCTGTGGCTGGCTGCCAGAACTAGGCGGGAGGAGGGGGATTCTGTGAATGCTACAGCTGGCAGGGAGCAAAGAAAGAGTGAAAGTTCTGGGGTCCTGGCCAGGGCTTCTCCTTCCCCAGTGTGGGTCAGAGCAACTCCACCTGAACCAAGCGGACGTGCCGCTGACAGCAAAGGAGGCCCAGCAGGATGGAGAAAAGGAACAGTAGCGAGGCGGACGTTCTGGAGCTCCCCAGGGGGACTGACTGGAAAAAGAGAGTGAACCAGTCGAGAGAGGTGCTGGCTAGACAGGAGCTAATCAGACCGGGTGGGTAGCAAGTCTGGCTGCTCCGGTCGGTGCCTGCGACCCCAGCACCTGCCCTTTCTTCATTCCTCCACCCACCCAAGGGAGGCTTTCTCTCTGTCCTGCTCACACAGGCAGCTCTCAGGTATTCACAGAAGGCAGGACTTGGCCCCAGGGAGGAGAGAGCACTGGTCTGGGAGCAGACATCCTGGAGCCTCCCCCAGTCTTTGCCCTGAACCAGCAGCGTGGCCTTGGGCGAGTTTCGACCCCTCGGGGCTCCTGCGTCCTCACCTGTATCCTGGGATCACGTGCGTGCTCTCCCTTGCAGTTCAGCCAGAGGAATCAATACTACGTGGGGGAGGAGCGAATACTGCTTTAACTGGGAATAGTGGCGCCGTCCGATTTCTACGTTAAATGCGAAGTGGGGGCGAGCCTTTGCCGGGTTCCCTGCTGCATGCCTACACTGAACACGCCTGGAAGGTTTGCCCGTGGTCCTGCCTGAAACGGCAGCAGTGGTGGTGGAGTGACTTCAGCCTTCGTGTGTCCCTCTTTCCTGCCCCAGCCCTGTGATCGGAGTGAGACACGAGCTATAAAAGGAACCACCAGGCAACAGCACAGCGAGGAGGAATGCGGCTCCCACCTCCTTTATCTACCGCGCCCCGGGGCAGTTGCTTTCCCTGGAGCCCTGTGGCCTTTCTGATCCACAGGAGTCCAGTTTAGTCTGAGCTGACAAAGTTTAGCGCCAAGAGCTACATTTCTTACCATCCTGGCATCTAGAGTAGTCATGGGACAGGCATGGCTGAGACGATAAGGAGACAATGGAATGAGATTCTGGAAAACCTCCAGTAGGTTCATCTGGCCTTTTGCCATCTAGTTTTTCTCTTCTTACTGCCTGGAATGTACAACTGATGCCTGGAAGTTTAGGAGCCATTTTGCAAGCATGAGGACAAGATCCTCATGCTAAAAGTAACAGAGAAAAGGCTGTTTTCATGTAACCTTGGACTGCCTACTTCTGGAAATATAAAATTTCCTAACTGTGAAAGCCACGGTCACCCTCCACCCTGGGGAGAAGTTAAAGTGAGGGTGGAATTGGCTATTTGTAGGCAAGCACAATTACAACCAATACACCCTTTCCACCAAGGACCACGTCAGTACTCCTTGGACACCTTCTAAGGGCCCACAAAGGGCTTACCACACTGCATTGTACAAGCCGGTTACCTGTACACTGTCCCCGAGAGCCTGCTATTTCAGGAAAGGCAGGAGGTGCACACTCTGTGTTGATCAGAAGTGCACCCCCAGAGCATGGCAGTTTTTGGCAAACAGGACATATTCTATATGCTTTTGTGAATCAGTGATAAAAGAACCCTCTGAGTTCTGATTTTAGATGCAGCTCACCTACCTTAGATCCAGGAGCCATCATCTCTAGCCAATTTTGAAGTCCGTTGACACATTGTTGAAACAGTCAGCTTTTAAAATTGGTTTGCCTAAAATAGCCACAGTGCATGAGCTTTGTAAATAACTCTGCCAGCCTCTCACAGAACCACTGCCATTTCCTAAACTACCCACAGCCATGGTTGCCTGGCACTTGTCACTGTGTGACCCAGAAAGCAACTCATGCAAGTCCTGTGTCGGGTCCTGGTGCCAAGTGATTGTCACAGCTGAGAAACGGCATTTCCCACAACATATATAGAGGGCTCAACAGAAAAGACATAAATGTGTATATGGACACAGTCGCAGATGAATGTGTAGGGTTGTTTTCCATCTTAAACACCAGTCAGGTTGAGACTGGTAGAACCGCATCCCCCCTACTTCCGAAGGTTCTCCCAGCTACCTCCTCCTCCTCTTTCCTTTATTGTGACTTTCTCCTCCAAACCTGCTGTTTTCACTCTGTTCCAAAAGCATCCATGCTTTTCCTGTCTGTGGCTTACCCAAATTGGATATCCAGCTATATAACTACTTCAGGTGCCTTCCCTTTGAAAAGCTTGGTGAGTCCATATATCATTCATGAGAATGCAAAGTCTATACATTTCCGACAAACTTGGAGTCCATATAGTCAAGATGTTTGTTGACAGTCACTTGGAGAAAATCACAGATGACGCACTGGGGCTGCCGGCCAGAGCCTTCACAGTCTCTTCTTTCTGAGTTCACACCATTCCCCGACTTTCACTGGGGCCAAACGACCCGAGACCCTTGCTCTCACTCCTCGTCCATCAGCTGAATGGTGACTCCAAGCAGAGCACGGGGCCTCGAGATGGAAGGAGCTTTGCCCTCCCGAGCTGCTGCATGAAGCAGAGACTTGCAAATCTGCACTGGGCTCTTATAGGCTCAGGGAAGAAATGTGATGGTCCCGAACAGGTGCAGTTTTGTTTCTGTCATGGCATCTGGTGGAATTTACAGATCACGCCTTACTTTTCCATAATGCTGATTTTTTGCGGTCTCTATCCCAGAATGCTGTCACAGTTTGCTTTGCATTAGAGCTATGTACATCCATGATTATACTGTATTCAAGTGCTTAGATCAATGGCTCTCCGCTGCACAACAGAAAGTAACTGGGAGCTTTAAAAACTCCCACTGCTTGGGTCTCAAGCCCAGAAGTTGAGATTTCATTGGCTGGTCGTGAGGCCCAACATTCACTGTTTTGAAAGAGCCTCCCAGGTGATTTTAAAGGGCAGCTGAAGTTAGGAGCCGCAGCTCCAAATCAGGGGTTCTCAAACCCGAGTGTACCTCGGAACGCTCCACAGACTTGTTCACACGTGAATTTGTGGGATCCAGCCCTAGAGTTTCTGATGCAGGAGGTTTGGGGTGTAGCCTGAGAATTTCCATTTCTAATGGTTTCCCCGATGAGGCTGATGATACTGGCTCAGGAACCATGTCCTGAGAACCACCGAGTCACACCTTTAAATCCCCCTCAGCAACGGTAACACTCACTAGTGTCCTACTGAAAAAGCACCAGCCACTCAGTAACGAACCTAGTGTGTGACTGAAGTGAACATGAAGACACGCAGGCCTCCATGCTTGATAAAGCGTTCGGGTCTTGTTTGGAGGTGAGCTGTTACAGAGGCCGCGTGCACACTGAGCAGCGAGAGGGGCCACGCCAAGCTCCTTCCCCAGAAACTACACTCAGCGTCTAAACATCAAGCTGCCAGAGCTTTGAACAGCATCCCTGAGCACCTGGGCCTTACCTCCATTTATTCTGTGCATCCCTGAGCACCTGGGCCTTACCTCCATTTATTCTGTGCATCCATTAGCAAGATGTGTCCTAAGGTATCAGAAAGCCTCAGAGAGCTCATAAAGGCATTAATGCTTCGTGTAAAACTAGACATAATTAATGTATTTGGCACAATTTGGTAGGTTATATTTGAGGTCTGGGAACACTCAAAAAATTTTCCATGTTAATGATAATTACTTCTTTGTTTTACATCATTTCCACTTACGAAAGATTTCATAGGAACCGTCTGTTTTTGGATAGCAAGGGTAACTTGTACGCATCTCTGCTGATGTAACTAAGGCAGCCACAGGCAATGTGGAAATAAGAGGATGTGAATGAATTTGACCCTCGACTGTAATTTGCCAAACCCTGGGACAGGACCGGCTGGGGGTGGGCAGGGGAATGGGAAGGATGTCAAACAAAGTACCCTGAGGACCAGAACCCTGAGCAGGAGCCCACGGTAAGTCTGGGAGAAGAGCGCTCCAGGCGGGACAATTTGCACTTGAAAAAGCCCCGAGGTGAGGGAAGCAGCACCTTCCTGGGACAGAGGAAGGCTGGCGCATCTGGAGTGTATTAAAAAGAGTAAAAGCAGTTTGGCTTGATGTCACTGACGTAGGATGTCTCTGAGCCTGGGGTTTTTCTCAGTGTGACGGGAAGCCACTGGAGGGTTTTGAGCAGAATGGTGGCCTGAGAGGTCTGTTTCTTGTCAGTGAGAGGAAAGAAAACAGCATTTGCTTATTCACACAGCACCTGGCCAGTGCTCAGCACGTGGAAGTCATTAGTATCTTCTCGTACCTTGTTGATGAGGCACAGTGTCTCCACAGGGTCATCGAAATTGGGAACAGGAGGGACAGTAGAAACCAGCCAACATGTCTCTCATAGTTTAGAGACACATCAACTGAAATCCAGAGAGGTCAAATGCTTTGCCCAAGGTCACTCAGCAAGTCAGCAGCAGAGCTGGGGCTGAAACACTAAGGAGAGAGAGAATGTCAGCAGAGAAGATTGGCCTGATAAGAAAGCAGTTAGTGTGGGAAGGGCAGGATAATTCTGGATCCAGTCTGGTGATGTCACTTGGCTATCTCCATGAGCCCAGCCCCATATGGTCTCAATGCCAAGGTTCTGGGGAGAGATGGGCTGTGAGGAAAACCCGAGCAGCGAAGATTCCCAGGCACAATGGAACTGAGTTGTAGCCTGGTATGTGTGGACAAAGTCTTGGGTGTGAGCATTCTCCCAGGGGCTGTTGGCTAAAGAATCATGGAGATGGGACTCCCCTAGAAGCAGTGGACGAGAAGACAATGGCAGGCACCAAATGGAAATGACAAAAGCTTCTTTATGAGCATATTTCAAATACCCCAAGAAAGCTCAGACACACTTGAGTGGCACTTTGAGAAAGGCCGAAGGGTGTAAAAGCAGGTGATACCAGTGAAACATGACTGGCTGCTGTGAGCTGCCTCCCATCTCTGCCATCCTGTCCGGCACACTCTGGGGAAACCCAAATCACACTGTAAATTCGTGGGAGAAGATGACACAAATCCTTATCTTTGTCCATTCAGCAAATACACTGCCACCACCTAAAATATCTACAGGCTCTCCCGAAACATCGGTTTTTCTAAGAACTAGTACGTCTGGTGTTAGTGACCTTAGACCTGTGCCCAAAGTGAGCTTTGGTGAGTTAGCATGCTGGTCTGGGCAGGACGGCGAGAGGTGGAAGGTCATGCCTCTCGTGAGGAATACAGCAGGGCTGGGCAGCAGGAGGGCTATGCTCTGGGGTCTTGAAGTCAGATCTCAGGAGAAGGGGCTCCCCCCGAAGTAGGGAAGTGGGGTCTCACCAGGTTAAGACCCTGCTGGCCTGCCAGCCTGGCCAGCCTTCCTCTCCTTCCTGGGCCAGGGCCCTAAGTCCTGCCTCTTGCACAGCAAAGCCACCTTTTCTATTTATAGGGGGAAAAAACTCTGCTATGAAATGTACTTTCCAATCTTAGGGCCCTTTCCTGGGCTCTATTTCCAGTGACCGACTGGAAAAATATCCCTCCTTCTGAGTGTACATATTTGAAATCTGGCTAGTGGTTTCGGAGTCCACTCCCCGGAGGGGGTTAGTGAGGGAGAGCAGGTTCCAGACAATGACAGGGTCTTGCTCTCGGGAGAATGTCAGGCTGCATCCTGCAGAGAAGATGGCAACATCCGCAGCGCCACCTCTGCCCCCTTCCACCACAGGAAAATTTGAATCATGTTTTGCGTCTCTCATAGACTGAACCATGGCCTCAGGGCTTTCTGCTAATGAAGATGATGAAACTTCAGGCTGTATAAGAAAAGTCAAAGTTCCAAGAGAAGGGCGCTGGCCCTTTCATGACTTCCTCCCAGTGGGTTTCATTCCCAGCAGAGAAGA